ACCCATGTACACATTACTCACCTTTGTGCTATGAAAAGTTAATATTATTCACTCTTACATTGTTAAGAGCACTGATGAGCAGTCTCATCGTGTGACTCATTAGTCTCAAGGAAAGCGTACCATGCTGAGAAGAACTTTTTATCAGCCTACTTTGATCCCACACACTAGACTATGTGCATTAATGGTGATCATATGTAGGTAAGCCTTATCTTGCACCCATAATACTGAAATCCACACCTGCAATTTGTGACTGATAATACAAGTCACACAATATAGTTTAAAGGCCAGGAAACACCTCTTTCCAGCAAACTCCAAGTAAGGTTTCCACGTGTCATAAATGTTACAGGTATTAAGATTCTGCTGGTAGATAGTTGTAACTGTCATTCACCTTAATACCGTATAAAATTTCTCTGCCGTATATTTAGGATGTTGTTTTCTTTAAATTGGCTTTTAAAACCTAATGGTGGCCAAACATGCATAGCACAACAAATTTCTCCATCCACGCTGTTTAGCTCCCCTGCCAACTATTGTATTCTGACAGCCAACAAACTCAACTGTTAGAATGCAGGAACAGTGGCTGCATCTGGTTGGGTGCAATAACTCCTTGGCTGATAATTTTATACCTTCTTCCTTTTGAAAAAAAGTTAATTTTGTTGAGCCCAGTGGTGCCAATAGGGGTATTCATGCTGAATTGGCCAAAATCAAGCAGTGTATATTAAAGTAATTTGCAGTAGGTCATTTTGAAAGTATATCTGACACACCTGCATTACAGTGCATCACAATGCTCAGTGAAACTGTACTGTTTGTTGTAGTGTGCTATATCATACAAATTGTACAAAAAGTGGATTTTCTTACCCCTTGTGGTATGTTGGCAGCCCATTCAAGGGTTGCCTCAATGCAAACCATGTAAATACGTGACATAATGAAGGGTAATTCATGGCACTGGATTGAGAAGGTTTAAATGAGGCCTGACTCTAAGCAGCTCCTTTTTTATGTAGATTTGGATAGACTAGTTTTGGATAAAAGTTAGAACTTCTGTTAATTCCTACTTCCTCTCTGCCCTCCCTGGTCACCACTCAAGAAGTGAATTACCCAAAGAGGGCACAGAATGACACAACTGGCAGAAGACATACTGTAACTCTTCCCCACTCTATATGGGCTATAATTGCTTTCTTTTCCATGGATGTGTATGCAAACCCAGTTAAAAGTCTTTTGATTTACTTGCAGGTCTTATCTAAATTGGGCAAGAAAGGATTCTATGAAGGAAGGATTGCGCAAGCCATTGTAGAACTGGTGCACAGCATTGGTGGTGTGTTGGACCTTGATGACTTGTCAAGCCATGTGACCGAAAAAGTACAACCAATTTCAACTACATACAAGGTAATGATACTATAAATGCATTATATCATGAGAGCCACAGTCAGAGTCAGATTTCCCAATACAAACACAAGGACCGAAGTGATGGTTTACTGGTGCAACTGAAACTCGTCAACTACCAGCCTGTGCATGCAATTTTGACTGTGCTAAATATGGCCACTGGGAAACCAACAATAATCTGGACATGTATTATTTGTTACCATATTCCTGCTTGAAAAAGCAAATGCATCGGTCTTTGTATAGCCAAATTATAGATACGTACATATATTGTTTGCATTTTGTAGATTTAGAAATGAATTGAAATAAAGATGCGCCCAGACTTCGCAAACTAAAGTATTTACATATTACGATCAATGAGTAAAAGTACTGCAAAAAAAGCCCACATGCACCTCTGTGGCTATAGACAGTGTGATGAAAATCATGTTCAAAGTTTAAAACAGGCACTGCAGTTACCACTTTTTTCCCCTTACTTTTCATGGAAGCAAAATCTTGGTGGACTGGCAGCCATCTAATGTGAACACATGACTGATATTTCTAAACTGTTATAAACCAACCAAAGTCCTTGTAGCTAGAGAGGTCAGTGAGGGCTTTTAAAGCTCTTTCCCTGCTTCTTATGAATATGCAAATAATTTAAAGTAGTATTAAACGCAAAACAAAAAATGTATTATATTGTTGCTTACCAGTCACTAGATGTGGAGGCTGCATTAGTTTTATTTATTAGGTTTTTACGCTCTGTTTTCACCTGGTTATCTGGCCATTACACACCTCATGTATTACACCTCTACTCTAGATGAATGAGCGCAGGGCACCTTTAGATAGCAGCATTGTCAGTCTAGGGGTGAGTGTTAGATGGACTAGCAGATTTAGATACACTAACAACAGTTTTGCTTCCTTTTGGGATAAAGGCTTTACATACTGTACATAAATAAAAGTGGATCATTGTAAGCACCCCTGTCAGTGTTAAATAATTTGTCTCAATCATCTCAATCCTGTAACTGTAATATCTGTAAGAGAGCTTTTTCTTCCGGAAAACAGCAGACTTACTACTAGCTGGACCACCAGGTGAAAATAAAGGAATGAAAGCCTAAAAAAGATGCAGCTATCACATCTACAAATTGGTAAGCTGCAATATAATAAATGTTTCCTTTTGGGTTTAATACTGCTTTAAAGTCCATTGACTGGGCACAGGCACACTCTTAGAAAGCGAAGTTCCAGAAATTAATATTGACATGCTTGTATCTGCTAAAAAGCCAACCGTTGATGCTTACATGTATACAAATTTGGCAGATTCATGTGCTTCTAGGCATAATATCAGAGCCTCATTAGTACAGTGCAAGAACATAGGAGACCTGTGAGTACAACCCATGTATGCAGAGTGTTGCTCACTATGCTGCAAATACTATACCTAAATGAATATGTAAAATAAAATATGAGCGATCAACCCACTCCTGACTAGTAACAAATATTGAGGACCAATGTTTTGAATTCATAATCTACCCAGTTATCTGATATCTAATTGCTGTTAATTGCAGTCTTTTCACAGCTCATGTTGCACTACCCTGCTGGAGCTATGTGGTAGATTGGGTTCTCTGTTCTTCTGCTTTAACTCTGAGAACAACTTCCGCCCCAAGGGCACATCAGATTAAGCAAATATAGTCTTTTGGACTAGTTTGGATTTTTGAAATTATTTGAACATCATGGATAATAACGTGCATTTTTATTTTATTTTATGGATTCTTTTTGTTTTTTTCATTCTATCACATTATCTCTCTGTTGTAATGGTACCTCTCTATCATCATCTATGATGTGATGTCCTTATACAGGATGATAGATATTCTTTGTAATTTGAATATTTCCTTATATTTATTCACTAGACAAAAAAAACTGTATTCTCTCACATCAACCTGACATATCTACCACTGTTTATTTTTGTTTTCATTACATATTCCTCTATTCTTTTCTTATTCCCTTTATTTCTTAATTTTTCTCTAAAAAAATTGTACCATCACATTAAAGTTTATAAACTTCCTTCTTCAATATTCTCTTATTTAGCCTTCTAATATATATATATATATATATATATATATATATATATATATATATATATATATATATATATATATAAATATAATTTTTTTTTTTACATTAAAATATTTTCATTTTCTGTATTCTTCATTATTTTATTGATTCTTTGTTATTTGTTTTTTCTTTTTATTTCTTTTTAATTATTTTTTTACTTTTTCATCATTATTTATGTTTTGACCTTTTTACGTTTTTTCTTTTTCACAATCTTTCCCCCTTTTTTTTTTTTTTCTTTATATCTTACTTTTTCACCTTTTACTTTTTATTCATACTGCATTTGTCTTCACTTCACAGATCCCCTTTCACCACACACGCTGGAAGGAGCCCTGCAAGACACTTCTTTATTCCCTTGTGCATCCAGGTTCACTTGTTTATAGTCATAAGACAGTGTAAACATACAGATCCATTATTTCAAACTACCTTTCTTCCAGAATTTTAGGTTACTATTAATGCAAGATATGGAAAACATGCCTTATGGAGTAGGGGGTTAGATAATAGCAAAAGAGGATACATAATCAGGCTGTAATGAACTGAGTGACATTCAGCCCAAAAACCATCTGACAAAGCCATGTATTCTATACCTTGTAGTAATTAAAACTAAAAAGCCAAAACATTTACAAGTGAGGTGGATTGCAAACAGTTATAGTGCATGGAAATTGTTCTTTTTACTACCTACAGTTTGGTTCACTTTGTTTCAGAAGAGCTTAGAATCTGTCAAATCATTTACATTTATTGGGCTGTAATATTAGTTTGGGGGGTCTTAGTGGTGACCTTTTTGCCTGATTTACCCCTACTTCTTCTACATTGGATGTCAATGAATCAATAACGCAGCCCCAAGTGAAATTAATCTGTTTACTCATTTGTATTTATAATGGGTGCACAACTAGACATTGAAAACTTTTTTTAGAAAAATGTAATTCGTTAAATACAGCCAATAGTCCACACAAAAACAATTATGATTTGTTGACTTCAGAAGAAACCATTGTTGTCACAATGTGCTAAAGTGCACTATAGTTTGACTGTGGCCAATATTTTGACTATTCTTGACACTCTCTGAAATACTACATTAATTAAAACAGTGGCTACATAGTGTGGCAGCATTCCAACGTTTACTGATCTGAGATAGATCATGTTGGTTCACCCAAGTAGTCAGAAAGACATTAACATCTTCATTCTGCTCATGGTCACATTTTGTCTCCAGATAGAGGACCCTCACACATCTTTCAACCAGGGCACATTGGTTCTTGCTAGTCTCTGTGTCTGACTCTATAGTGCTCCACCTGACTTGCACTGGACCAAGGTGAAATGTGTCCAGTTGCAAGATTCTGCCTCTTAGAGAAAAAGTACCCTCCCTTGCCACACTAAAGAGGAACTCTGTGTCACTTGCATAAAATTTCACTTTCAACTTCTTGATATGACCATCACTGGGCTAGGATTATGCATGAAATTTTTAGTGGCTACAAGGCTTATCCCCAGGAAATAGGTGCAGGAACTTAACACGATCTCCCCCCCCCCCCCCACTCCCACAGACACACACGCACACGCCATACATAAAATAGTTGGTGTGGTCAAATTTCACTAACAGTGGGAGGGTCTTAAAGGGGCATTAAATACCAAGAGTTCATTATGTACAGAGCAGGGGCGGACTGACCATTTGGAAACTCGGGCACTGCCCGAGGGCCCGGGGTCAGTAGGGGGCCCCATAAGATGCCCCTGGTACCTTTTTCATAGGCTTTTTTTTGAGTTTGTCCAAGGACACAGGGGCCCCATGATCCCCTATTGCCCGGGGGCCCCATGAGTTGTCAGTCCGCCCCTGGTACAGAGTGCAGAGTTCAGGGGTGCACTGCACACAGAGTGCAGAGTTCAGCCTTCTTCCACAGCTGTTTACCTCTGCAATCCCCATCTACATCCCTCTTTCACCCTTCTTCAGCTATGACCTCTGCATGCAACCTCCCTCCATTGTCCCCTTCTTCTTCCCCCTCCTTAAAAGCTCCACCATCTTCCAATTGTCTTAATTTTTTCTATATTAAGCTGATGCACCCAGCTGGCTCTAGTACCTCCCTGCACACTAGTAACTCCTCCTCTTTCATGTGCAGGGAGATCATCTAGTGGGGGTGTCGGCATCCGCATTGCGCCCTGAGCACCAGCATCTTCTTTGTCCTCATCCTCCACCCAGTGGAAGCTGCTCAGGAGATCAGAACTGTGGGAGCCATTGGGAGACAAGCTGTCACCTGTAAACATAGAATCCGGACTTCTGTATTTACAAGTGATAGTGGTGAGCAGGGAGCAGAGGTCCTGAGCCAGAGGTGGTCGAACTGAGTTCCACAAAGTTCCAGCTGAAAAGAAACCCTGAGTGGCTCACCTAAATTTCCTTTGATTTCGTCATTGTGTTTGTGTCAATTCCCCTACTCCCCAAACAGAGAAGGAAGTGTATAGCTCATTGACGAAACTGTCAAAGGATTTCTCATGTTAAATATACATCAGTAATATTAATCTATTGATAGTAATCTCCAACAATTACCAAACAATATCCTGCAGTAGCATTATCAAAGAACTTTGAAATGTGAATCAAAATCACTCATGCAGCCCTAGCCATTAGATGACATATATATCTACGTGTATCAGACATTTTAAATGGGTGTATCTACTATACAATCTGATGTCACCTCGAGTCTTGTGCAAATACTGACATGTCTTGTACACAAAGGACAGATTACTTCCTTGTTTTTCTATTTTTAACATTAAAGAGCGTGCCTGGGCAACAAATCATAGGGCATACAACTACCATTATAAAGTAAAAACCTAAAGTATTTATCTCCTCAACAAGAACAACCAGCTCCCACACTTTTGCTCCGAAGCCTGGCTATGCCCAGATGGCATTTCTTGATTTTGTTTTCTAGTTATGGAATGACAGTATTTAGTTTAATAAAGAGACTATTATATTCATCAGAACATATAAGCTTATGTATGTGATGAAACACATTAATACAAGTCCATAAAACACCATTTACATCTTGAGAATTAGTATACTCTTCTTGTCATACCAGTAATAATACATAGTAGATGCCAAGCCAAGCCCAGCTGCTGGCACCCAGCCATATGAGACAAACACACCCAGCTGTATTCCTTCAATGGCCCAGTCACTGTGAACAGCCGTGTCATGGGAAAACACATGAGAAGTGCAATGTAGTACCAGCCATGATGATGGAGACTCACTGAGGTACAACACTGACCATGATTACAAAAGAATTGATTATGGTTTTGGCTTTTGCTTATTCAACAGTTATGAGTCAGAGTTTCACCTATCTAGATCTACAAAACAAACTAATTATTCAGTGGACACACCTGTCGGTTGCATTATACTGTATATAGCTTTGCAGAAACTTTAGGGCCTTTAGATAAGCATTATTTAAAAAAAATCAAGCTAAAAGAAAATGTTTGTTGGATATTAAGTGAGAACAGACCCACTGTTGAAAAAAAACATATTTATACAATAAAGCGTGTCTAAATGTAAAAACAAACCTTTAATATATTGCAGTTTATCAAACCTTAGATGGTGGCTGCATTTGTTTGTTTTTTATAGACTTTTTTCCTTTAGACCTTTTTCCTTTATTTTTACCTGTAATGATGCAAAAATGCATTGTAGTTAAACTCACACTTCATTGTTAGCAACACCTCCTCAATTGCAACCAGAGTATTCTGGTCCCAGTAGGGTGGCATCCCAATGTCCTCGAGCCATGAATCCTCCAGCTGTTACCGGAGCTACCCTAGATTTCACTTAGAGGGATGCTGTTTATGAGGATAAGTGCAAGTAGTGGTTTGTGTACTGAATTATTTTATTAAATTAGTAATTCTCAGACTCCATGGTTACAGAGTCTAATAGAGACTATGCAACCACATGTTACTGTGAGCCACAGACATAGTCTGTTTCAGGGGCGGACTGACCATTTGGAAACTCGAGCACTGCCCAAGGGCCCGGGGTCAGTAGGGGGCCCCATGAGATGCCCCTGGTTCCTTTTTCATAGGCTTTTTTGAGTTTGGGCAAGGACACGGGCCCCATGATCCCCTATTGCCCGGGGGACCCATGAGTTGTCAGTCCGCCCCTGGTCTGTTTATTAGTATTCTGCAGTGTACGCATGCTCTTTGCCATTCTGACCCTGTTTTGCATTGATTCCAACATTGCACCTAAAATGCAAGTTTCAGTTATTCCCTTTCTGATTATTTAGCATATTACCCATTCTGTTACAGGAGTAAAATCATATACCTGTTTAGACTGATGCGGAGGTTACTGTATGATAGTTCAGTTTCCACCTGATTGCTAAAGGAAGGCAACATTATTATGTTACAATCTTCATTGGCTGCTGCTGCAGCCTGTACTATGGTTCCCCTAGCACCTGGACAGGGAGAAAAAACAGTCCTACTGGCTGTTGGGGACCAGGGGGACTTGTGATGGACTGCAGGCCACTGCCATCATTTTTGAGCCCTGCTCTTTACCTGTTAAGGGGATAACAGCATGAGCCAGGGCCCATGAGACAAGAGCAGAGGACCCTAAGGTATGTAGAGGGCACCCTGGGAGTGAGGAGGAAGTGACCCCTTGTACAACTGGGACATATGGACTATGCAGGGAGCTTGTGGAGAGGACTGAAGGCTGTGCTGCTGTGATTGTTGACAAGTAACTATTGCTAACCAATGGCAGAAGGAAATCTACAGAGGATTTTGCTGCTGCACTCTGCATGTTGTTATTGTGGGATGAGTGAATACAGAGCATCAAGGACTCAAAGAGAGTATAGTGTACCATAGAGAAAGAACTGTTCACGAGGCTGCTGTGCCACATCTGGGGTTGAGTGTGTTCAAAATCCCAATGTCATGGGTTGCTGTTTCTGTGCTTCCCCTGAAGAGTGTACTTGTAGGCAGGTTCATCTTACCCTCTCCTCTATTGGTGGTGCTGTGCACCTAACCCAGGGGTGGGCAAACTTTTTGACTTGAGGGCCGCAATGGGTTCATATATTGGACCCGGGGGCCGGACCAAGAGTAGATGAATGATGTGTATGTGTCATCCATAGTAAGTATAGTAATATTCCCCCATAGTAAGCATAGTAATTATTCCCCCATATAGTAATTCATCCCCCACAGTAATTCCCCCCCATAGTAATTCATCCCCCATATAGTAATTAATCCCCCATATAGTAATTCATCCCCCATAGTAATTCATCCCCCATAGTAATTCCCCCATATAGTAATTCATCCCCCATAGTAATTAATCCCCCATATAGTAATTAATCCCCCATATAGTAATTCATCCCCCATATAGTAATTCATCCCCCATATAGTAATTCATTCCCCATATTAATTCATCCCCCATATTAAGTCCCCAAGTCCCCCCTGTGTCAATTCACTTACCTTTGCTCCGCGCGTTCCTCTCGCCGTGTTCCCCGCGCCGTTCCGGTCTTCAGGGCGGACTGTGAGAGGAGCCTAGCTCCCCTCACGTTCGTCACGCTGCCCCGCCTACACACATCCTGACAGCCATCCTGACAGTATCACGCTCCGCGGGCCGGATTAAAAGGTCCGCCGGGCCGTAGTTTGCCCATTGCTGACCTAACCGCTGTACAGGGTTGTTGGAGGATAAGAGGAACCTTGTTCCTCTGCAGCCTCCATAGGTGTGTCTGGGAGAGTAGTGATGCAATTGGACACTGCAACACTGAATGACCTCAGTGGCCATCTTTTGTGTGGGCAATGTTAATAAATAGCAGTGTCCTGCTGTGGTTTGATACACAGTTGTGAAGTAGATAGAGTAGGGACAGGATCCACTCTGGTTAGGAACAGTGGGGTTTCTTTACTAAAGCTGAAAAGCGCAAAATTAGACCCACTTCTGCATAGAAACCAGAAATCAGCTTCTAAGCTCAGCTTGTTCAGTTAAGCTTTGACAATAAAACTTTGAAGTTGATTGGTTTCAAAGCAGAAGTGAGCCTAATTTTGCACTCTCTGGCTTTAGTAAATAAACCCTACCTAAATACTTAGCCCTAAGGAAAGGTTCCTGACTAGGAGAGACAAACTAGGGTCACTCTGATCCACTTACTTGATAAATTCCAGACCACAGTGCTGTTATCCAGGACTAGCACTGTTATTCAACTGCTGCTTGCACTGCACCCTGCCTCTCAGTCACCCCCTTCTCAGAAGCTGCTTTGGTAATGTAAGATTTATTGAAGGGACAACCTTGCTGCTGTTATGTGTTAACATTGCTTAACCTTCTACGCCTGTGTTGCCTGTGGCCCGGTGTCAGTGCTTCCATACTATTTGGAACTATCAAGCTAAGTACTTTGTCACTGATGCCGCAGACACAATACCAAGTGTTGGTGATTGCGATTGTTGCTCCTATTTTTATCTATTACCTTCAACTTAAATAATAATTGTACATCCTTTGTTAGATTTAGTGTGCCATTCCTCCCACTTGGGTACCAACCACCTGGCCCTACCCACATTCTGTTGGCTGCTCTGCCTGTACCTGGATGTCCTACAAGTTGGAGCTTTCCATGTATTGCCAATGGTATTATCTCATGCTGTCCAGAAAGGTACAGCATATAAAGAAATCATCTGCTCAAGAACTCTTCTTGGATTTACTGTTATTTTACTTGATGAATTGCTTGGGCGATATGCTTCTATTGTTTAATTACATTTTATGATTATTATGAATTGTCTGTTATGGTTAACCAATAAGGTGCTGCATCCATTTCCATCCACATTTGTTTGTACAGTTTTTTTTAATAGTTTGCTTAGTTATTTTGTTTGAAAATTATGCCAGTTGTAATTGTGTAATGTTTTTATGCTGATCCCAGGTTTTGTAGGTTTTCTACAGCTGCTCTGTCTTCATCCAAAATGTAAATTTATATTGAAAGTTTATTTGTCTGCTGCTGAGTGTTGAAAAAGTAATGGTAAGGAAAGGCAGGCTATTGCATTTCAGCTGTGTTTTGTATAAGAAAGGGTAAAAAATCTAGGGGAGAATAAGAAGTTCTTAGTATATTATTATGGGGTCTAAATGCGATAACAGAATGAAATATTATCCTCTTAGCAATGGACTTGAGAAGCTGGAGTTACTGGGCTGTTATCAATTGTAGTTATTTCAAACAGGAAAGAGGCATTGGGGTTGATTTACTAAAACTGGAAAGGGCAAAATCTGGTAATCTGGTAGCCAATCAGCTTCTAACTTGTTCAATTAAGCTTTGACAAAAAAAAAAAACCCAAAAAATAAAAAACTGGAAGCTGATTAGTTTATATGCGGAGCTGCACCAGATTTTGCACTTTCTAGTTTTAGTAAATCAAGGGCACTATGCACACAGGACGTTTTTAACCACTTCCCGCCCGGCCTATAGTAATATGACCAATCACACCAGGCCACATGACAGTTGTATACAATGGATGGCTTCCTTTAAGGCCATTCATTGTATACAAGTGTGTGTCTAGCTGTGAATGGTCACAGTAATCACATGCACAGGCTGGGCCAATCACAGCCCATCTGTGTCATGTGATTAGCCATGACCAATCACAGCTAATCACAACTAAAAAAACCTGAATGAATCAGTTTAATTCAGTTAAATGCTTGCTTATAGCACAGAAAATCTGTACCGTTCTGACATTTTTGGGCCTCAAGAAATTAGATTGGCTGTCAGTGCTTCAGGATTCATGAAGAAATTCTTTGCTATAAGCAATCAAATTGTGTAAAAGTAAAAAAAAAATACTGATCACTTCCCCAAAGAAGTACAATGTTACTATGGTAACATTATACGAAAAAAAATGTAACTAAAAATGAAAAAAAAATTTAAAAAATGAAAAAAAAAATTATCGATGTTTTTTTTTTCGTACTGTCACCAGTCAGTGTCCCTGATCACCGCCACATGTTATATGATGATGTTGTACTGCACTGGTGACAGTATGCAAAAAAAAAAATGTGAAAATCATTTTTTTAATTTCTTCATTTTCTGAAAAATTCTGAAAAAAAAATTACAACTTCAAAAAACTTGCCATGCCTCTTATGAAATATGTCGGACTGTCTACTTTGCAAAAAGGGGTCATTTGGGGGATATCTGTACTGTTCTGACATTTTTGGGCCTCAATAAATTAGATTGGCCGTCAGTACTTCAGGATTGATCAATTTTCAGATATATCCCATAGTTTGTGAACTCTATAACTTTCCTACAGACTAAATAATACATCCTAATTTGGGTTATTTTCACCAAAGAAATGTAGCAGAATACATCTTGGCTTAAATTTATGAAGAACAATTATTTATTTGCAAATTTTTGTAACAGAAACAACGAAAAATGTGGGTTTTTTTTTCAAAATTTTTGGTCTTTTTTTGTTAATTTAGAAAAAAAATAAAAACCCCAGCGGTGATTAAATACCACCAAAAGAAAGCTCTAGTTGTGTGAACAAAATGATACAGTTTTAGTTTGGGTACAGTGTTGCATGACCGCGCAATTGTCATTCAAAGTGTGAGAGTGCTGAAACCTGAAAATTGGCCTGGACAGGAAGGGGGTAAAAGTGCCCGGTATTGGTTAAAATCGGTTAGTGGTTAAAAAAAACGCTCCTCCTTTTGGCAGCAGCAGTTTGGCAGTAAAAATGCCTGATGCTTGTCAAAGTGTCTAATGCTTTTACAAGTGTTTAAGCCAGGGGTGGGCAACTTTGGCCTTCCAGCTGTTGGTGAACTACAAGTCCCATCATGCCTCTGCCTTTGGGAGTCATGCTTGTAACTGTCAGTTTTGCAATGCCTCATGGGACCTGTAGTACCAGAACAGCTGGAGGGGCACAATTGCCCACCCCTGGTTTAGGCGTATTTACAAGCATGAAGCGCTTGGGCGTTAATTTATTTAATTGGTCAGAATAATAATTTATTCTGGCCATTTAAATGAATTAATGCTGAAGCGCTAAACGCACCTAACGTTAACACTTGTTTAGGTGCGTTTACACGCGTCAAGCATTTTTTTTTTTCTGCCAAAATGCTGCTTCTCCTGGACACACTGGCCCTAGGTTTTTTTTTCCTGCTGGTAAAGTTACTGCTGCTAAAAGATTCTAGAAGTCTATGTGTGCATGGGGACATAGGATAACACGGAGGACCATATGAATGCACTAAAGAAAAAAAACCACTTGGCACCCCTAAAGTGGCTGCAAAAATGCCCTATGTGCACGACTCCTTAAGCAGGGTATACATGAACAGTCTTTTTTGTTCAAAAAAGACCAACAGACCCCTACATCCACACAATCACTGTAGACACAGGGAACTCCTCTGCTGTACTATTGTATCCTGACAGCAGCCCCCCTTTCTACAAGAATACAGTGTTCAGCGCTGCATCATTGCATTATGGTTTTCCAGCACAGACAGGGGTATTCACATACTGAAATTAGGTGGGTTCCTGTTGAATCGGCAGAATTTGGACATATGTATACCTAGCTTAAAGGAGAGACTAAATAAAAGATGAGACCGCTGTTAATAGTTCGAAATATATTAAGGCAGTGAGACTGGGTGAGTAGAGATACGTGGTCATTAGTATGGAAGTGATGGCTTCCAAAGAAGCTAACAGGCTTACCATTACCAACTACACATGTGTTTAAAAAAAATGTATGGGTGTCTGCATGAAACTCGTTAGTCATGTTCACTTTCGCAGTAGTGGCAATAATAATATAATTTAGCTTACTGGTGAATGGTGAAATTTTTGGGATAATATATCAGTGTTAGACCTTTACTCATCATGACCAGTTGTCCCTGTGTTGCTCATAGGTATTTTCTACTGATAACTGTAAAATAAGATATACTGTATAAGATTGTGGAGCATAAACAATCCTTTATTGTTATGTAGTTACATATCTAGATTAAGCACATGAAAGCAAACCAAATTATGTTCTTTTTTTCAATTGCTTTTTATTGAATGATTTTAAAAAAAAAAAAAATACAAGCTAGCGAATGTACAGTGAAGAGGTTAGCAAATACTAATATGTTTGGTGCTCCTGACCACAGAGTCTAAATGTGAGCAATGAAGAGGGTCATAGAAATAAAGTGAATAGAATTGACAACTGTTTTCTGCTATATGATGTAATGTTACTCTTTGATGCTTGAGGAATTGAACTAGCACCACCAAAGACCACTGATTGTCTTCGTGAGAAATAGTGCAGAACTTTCAAATAGGGCAGAAACAGAGGAGTTCAGCAAGAGGTCCATGAGAGTCTCATGAATGTAGAGGTGGTAGCAGTTGATTGCTCCAGACTTCATCTCTATTGCTGCCTAATAGGCCCTTCAATCCAGATCTTCTAAGACTAGCGGTCAGTGCCTTTGATCAAACACTGGACATTTACATCTTTTACTTCAAGTACATTCTTGGTAGGGTACTACTTAGACAAGTGAGTGAAAATCGAATTGAAAAGCTGTCATCAGAACAAGAATAGAGGAGAAATCTTCAAATAAGGACACTTATCCCAGTGACAACTGCCTAAGAGAAGATTTTCCTCACTTTGGAGAGATTTCCCCTTATTTCTGATGGTGTCTACAGGACAGGATATGAAGGCAAATCTCCAGGACAGACAGGCAGGGGAAAAAATTGGCAGCAGTTTTAAAGTGGTTGTAAAGGCTAAAGGTTTTTTACCTTCATGCATTCTATGCATGAAGGTAAAAAACCTTTTGTCTGCGGCATCCCCCCTAGACCCCCTAATACTCACCTAAGCCCCCCTCTTGATCTAGCGATATGCACTAAAGTCTTGGCAATCCTGGGGACTCCCTCTCCTCATTGGGAACCATTGGCTCCTGCTGCTGTCAATCACAGCCAGTGAGCCAAAGAGAGAGGGGCAGGGCCAAGCCGCGGGTCTGTGTGTGAATGGACACACGGAGCAGCGGGTGCCCCCATGGCAAGATGCTTGCTAAGGGGGGCACCCGACAGCAGTAAGGGGAGAGGAACACCGGTGGGGGGGACCCGAGAAGAGGAGGATCGGGGCTGCTCTGTGCAAAACCACTGCAGAGAGCAGGTAAGTATGATTTGTTTTTTTTGTTTTGTTTTGTTTTGTATTTTACATTTAAGCCTTTAATATCACTTAAACCATTCCTTACTATCCAAGATGAAACATTTTTTAAGTTTTTTATTTTAGATATATTTTAACATTTCTAGATGTTCCTTATTACATATAAAAATCTTTAATTTTTAGTTTCAAGTCTGCAGTAGCAAATGAAGACAAATGGCATCTATCAACATCCAAATCTATTGTTATTTAAAGGGTACTATGTTTGGTAAATTAATTTATTTCATAACATCGATAGGGAGCTGGCATTCAGAATCATAACTGTCCCTGTGTTATCTTGTTTTTACAAATTCATTCTGTTTCTTCATAAACATATGAAGTGTTAAAGCAAAGCAGTTGAAAGGACTGCAACAAAACAAACATTTTATGTAAGCAATAAAAGTATTCTAACAGAAGATACTTTGGGTTGCCTTCCCAGAGACTTTGCTACTGAAAGTCCATGCAAAGAGAAAATAGAGATGAAGGAAAGAGAAACTGAGTCATTGCTGGAAGAGGGCTATAGAACCATACAGCTGCTGTCCGAGCTACTGCCAGGGAGTTCAATGTTCCAGCTGTCCTACTGTCCAGTGAACCACTGGTCCAACGCTTTGCTGAAAAAATTGCAAAAGTATAAAGCAACTTCTGCATAATCTTTGCTCCTGGTCAGCTGAGTCACAAGAGCCAGTAATGATTTGCTTACTGGAACCCATTTTCCTTCTATTATTATTATTATATTGTTATACAGGATTTATTATACAGGATTTATATAGCGCAACAGTTTGCGCAGCGCCTTTCCCAGTGAACACCATTACAGTTTCACTTTGCATCAGTGGGTTTTCAGCAAGCCAAGATTACTAGTCAAGAAACCTCCAAGTATAATTCCACTCATCCTACCTGGAATGTGAACAAGGTGGCATAGCCACTGACACTACCTCAGAATGGAAGACTCTGTCTATTTTTTTATTAAAATTGTCTGTCTGTTTTTTCCTTTCAGTATTTCCATGCAATAATGATTAATTGGGCTAAGCCATATGGAAAGTTAAACATTATATAACATTATATAATTGTACCCACATGGAAGAAAATATATTTTAAAATATATTTTTAAAATATTCTTCCCAAATATATTGCCATATATTTGAAATGCAAAAATTTTGGCCATATTCAATATATTTCAATATATATATACACACTGCATGTTGAAATGTGTTTTTATTACAAAATATATGAAAAATATATTTTTTAAAACACATTTCAAATATACTGTATGTCTTTAAAAATGCAAATCTACATTTTTGGAATGCATTTACAAATATATGTAAAAAGATATGTTAAAATGACCTTTTTATATGTTAAAAAAAACCTGAAGAATATATTTAGAAAAATATATATTTTTAAAAATATATATATTTTTTAAATATATTCTTCAGGTTTTTTTAACATATAAAAAAGTCATTTTTAACATATATTTTTACATATATTTGTAAATGCATTCCAACAATGTAGATTTTGCATTTTTAAAGACATACAGTATAATTGAAATGTATTTTTAAATATAAATAAAAACACATTTCAACATGCAGTGTATAATATATATTATATATTTATTGAAATATATTTTGAAAATATATTGAATATGGCCAAAATTGTAGCATTTCAAATATATGGTAATATATTTGGGAAGAATATTTTTAAAATATATTTCAAATATATTTTTCTTCCATATGGGTATGTACACAATTCTAAACCCACGGTTGATCCAGAGCAAGGCAAAAAACCCAATTTGCTCCAGCAGGGGAAACAAATTCCTTCCAGATCCCACAAGAGGTAATCGGATATTCCCTGGATCAACTTTACCTATAAATGTTAGTATCCTGTTATATTCTGTGCATTTAGGAAATAATCCAGGCCTTTTTAAACCCTCTCATAAAAAGAAAGGTTAGATTTCAGTTTATTTATTTCACATAGCATAGCTAAACGTGCTTTTAGTCCGATGTATTAATATTTTGTGTAACTGTCAAGTACACTGTTGCTCTGATTTGGAAAAAAACAACTTTATTTTGCTTCCATAGGGGATAAAAGTCTGGGAAATACCACCCAACAGTCAAGGGATCACTGTTATCATGGCTTTAAATATACTGGAAAACTTCCCCATCAAAGGTAAAAAAGTAATTTATAAACTAAATGAACAAAATGAATGTGACTGC